TTACTCTTTCCTATCTTATGGAAGTAATTTACAGTCATTCAATAAAAAATCCATTTAAGAAAGACCAACCATTTAAGCTTGATTGCTTAGGATCTTGGATCGACCTCATCCAAGTTTTTTAAGATCACCCTCTTTAAAGTCACCTCAGATTAGAATTCTTTCAAAACCCTTCAACTTGTTGAAAAACTTATATCTTATCATTTTCATATATTCATCATCATTAGACTTTTCCAAGTCTTAGTTCCTTCACTTATGTTTTATCCATTAAGAATCCAAGATCTTGTCATTTCTAGCTTATTCCATATCTGCTATAAATGTATTGTATAAGATTTTCTTTGCAATCCTCTTCATTCCATTTGAAATGAAGATGCTCTCATCTTCAAGTCTATTGCGCAATTCTTCCATTTTTATAGCATGAAAAATCTTAATTCTTTAATTGCTTCTATGTGGATATTTTCTTCTTCTAATCATTTTTTTTTTTTTTTTTTTTTTTTCATTTATTGAAAGTGATCACCATCCCTTGTACATGCTTCAAATTTCTCTTGTTGATCCACTGAAATTCATATAAAGAATAATTCTTAAAAGTGCACAAATATTGAACTCCTCTAACATTGATCTATTTTTTGTCAAATATTCCTGATATTTGATCCATAGTTTGATTCCATATCTCTTCTTGGGTGGGACATGTGCCTTTTCTTTATAGAAGCTTCTTTCATCATCCACAAATTTCTTGAAGATGCTCACATAGAAGACTAGATGCCACTTCAATCTCTTTGGAATGTCTAATATATAGACACTTTTGTATGATATCCTTTTGATTACATTAAATCTAGTCTAATTTTGGATCTACTTGGGAATGAAATGTATAAGACAAGTGAAGTTGTTTATATTTAACCATACTTTATCTCCCCTCTTGTATTACACATCTTGCCTATATTTATTGGCTTTCTTCTCATATCTACTCTACACTACTTTCAGTCATGTTTTGGCAATGTTCATGATGGCTTTTCTTTGAGCCATCTACTTTACCTCTTTTCTTAAATAAAACTCCTAAGTGTGATTGTCACTCTGACGAATTCCAACTAAGTCAATGGATCTGAGTGCATCGAAGTTGTGAGCTACTTAAAAAGGTGTGTTATCTAAAAGCTTGTTTCGACTAGTATTATAATTAAATTTGATTACAAACAGCTACTTGACCTAATCTTTATGGTCACTCATCTCATAATATCTTAGATACATTGAAAAAATACCATTGATTCTTTTGATTTAGTCATCCTCTTGTAGGTGCCAAGCCATAGTAAAGATGATCTTTGACTCCAACTTCTTCATAATATGATACCAAAATTATATTGTGAACCAAACGTTTCTATCACTCACAATTAAAGTTGGCATTTTATACCACGAGGTTCAAGAGTCAAAGAAGATGCTTACCATCACCTACAGAATAATTTCTAACTCTTCTTTCAAATCTCTTGGAAACATAGCCGTTGCTACAAATTTTGCCATCTTGCTAAATCTATCAACTATAACAAATAAAGCATTGGCTTCACCATATTTTAATAAGCCCATTATGAAATCCATCTACCTTTGCTTATATGAAGTGCTTGTTTTCTTAGCACATCCAATAGCTCCCTATATACTACTCCATGTTTTTTTCATATAGAAGGTTAGTAGTAAGACTGTGCTACGTTCTTTAACATTGTCGTGCTAAAAAGTAGAATAATATGTAAAAATAAGATAGAATGTTATGAGAGTTTGGATTGTAATTAAAAAATAAAAATAAAATAATAAAATGAAGTAAAATAAAATAAAATACTTATCTAATTTGTTTAAGTTTGTAGTTTAAGTTTAGTAATTAAACATAGAGATTGTAGGATTTATTAGTAAGAAGTTTATAGGGGCTTTGGAATCAAAGGTATAGTATTTTGATTCCTAGACAATCCTATGTTGATGGATAAGATAAGTGACGTAAGAATTCATTTCTATTGGTTAGAAGACATATCCAATGGACTTTGAGATGTTAACTATACCACACTAGAGTTTGGGACCACTTTAGGGCGACTCATTTGAAGTAAGGTGGACCATTTAAGGGAAGACGACCCATTTGAAGTGTGAAGGCTGGATTTGGAAAGCTTGGAGTTTGGACTAGAATTTGGATGGAAAAAATGTATAATTTGGAGTAGTAATAAGAGAGTTATGGTTGTTTGAAGTTAGAGTGTGTTTTTGGTATCTATTGTTACTCTTTTAAGCATATAGAGAGTTGTAAGAAAGATTTGAAGAATTAGAAAGTGAGGTTTGAAATCTAACTTAAAAAGATAAATTTTTTGTAAAAACATTGATATATTCTAATCTAGAACAAAGGAGAGAAAGTTGTTGGAAGTTAGTATTAAAGATAGGGCTTTGTAAGTGAGTTGTTTTTAATGGGGTTTCGGTTTTTGCCATATCTTGAGTTTTTGGACGAATTTTTGGCTAAAAATTTCCATAAATATAGATAATTATGTTAAAAAGTTGTTGATAAAAAAGTTCATAGTATTTGAGCTTTGGATTTTTATGATATTAAGGAATTAGTGCATAGGTGCCTAAAAATTGATATGTTTAGCACCTACTAGAGATTAGGCAATATCCAAAGACTTATAATGAATTTTTGGTTGATTTTTTGTGTAGAGGTAGTCAAAGATATAAGTTAACTTGTGGAGAATTTTGAATCCAACTAGACAATTAGATTGGAAGTTATTGAGTAATACATATACAAAAAGGATCTCTAAAGGAATAGAAGTGATTTCAGGATATCTAATCACATCTTGGGTATTTTTGTGCATCCTAGACTTGTGTATTTGATGTAATTGTCTTATTGAAGACAAGCTGTAAATCATCTTTGTGTTTTATAATCTTGCAACTTATTTGAGTATTTAGTGGCAACCAAAGGCCCATTGCTTTCTTAAGGCAACTCTCTTTACTATAACAACATGGACTTTATACCTTTATGTCTCGTGCATGGAGAGTCATGTAACTCAAACAACTTTTTTTTTTCCACTTACCTTTGGGAACATAAAGTCATATTTGCTTAAATCAAATAAGTCCATCTTTTATTGAAGAGACTCTCATAAGACTCCTTTATTTCCTTATGGTTTTAATTGAAGCAAATGCTTTCTTAATTTCTAACATATCCTCAATTGTTTTATAGATTAACTTTACGCCTTTGATAAGGGAGGAATCATCATGTAATGCCACTTGTAACACCTCAAATCAACTCTCCTCTCTTGCCATTGCCAATTTTTCTCCTTTTAATAGTACACAAAGCTTGGAAGTTTATAATAGCACAATGACAACAATAATTGAACATAAGTTTTTCAATTGAGGAAAGAAAAATACAAGATGCATTGACAATCAACTGGAAGTAATAGGTGGACAAAAGAAGGAGCCAAAACACAAAAGAAGAGAGAAAAAAAAAAAAAAAAAAAAAAAAAAACCAAAGTATGAGTGATGGAAGAACAAAAAAACAAAAACAAAAACAAAGAATAGTCGAGAGCAAGGCAGTATCAAAAAAAGAATTAGTTCCAAATTATTAGTTATTCTAAATCCTAGATAAAACATGATATAATCCTATTACACACATAGGAGCTATTTACATCACCATAACATTGACCTACTACAAATTTTAAGTATAAAGACTCCTTGAATTTTATATTAAAATTTTATAATATATATTAATATTTAGACAAAGACCAGCAATAAAAATTCACATCAAATTGTAAATCCATTCTTACTCTTCATAATAACATGAGATTCTCTCCTTATTTACTAACCATTCTAACTATTTCAACAAATCTTAAGTTAGAAACCATTTCTGAACTTATGTTTTTTACTTATTTGACTGTAAATTTCTAGATAGTCTTGGCATTGCACACCAGTTTGTTTGTTTGTTTGTTTGGCTTTTTTATTCTATTTTTTATTTTGAAAAGTCCACTTGCATATTCTTTGATTTAGATACAAAGTCAAAAAATGTACATCCACTGTCTTATAGAGTTCTATCCAAACCCTTCTTGTGTGAAGTTGTCCTACATAACGTTTAAGTTCACCCAACAGCCAAGATGTGTGACCTTCAACAGAGTCCAAAAGATATGGACTTGTTAAAAACCAACTCCTCTTCTACAGATGTTTAACAATGTTGGTAAATATTAAAAAGCCCTTGCTGCTAAACTTGATTAGAAGACAATTGTATCTACGTCAAGTGTTTCGTAATTATCTGACCACGTTCCTCTGCCACTGATGTCAGCAATAAACTGCTGTAAGACAGAGGGTAGACTGTGGAGTGGTGTTCATAATCTGACTGATGGTCAGAAATTCAGTCAAGTGTGAGATGGTCAGAAGAAAAGGACACGACCGCCTGGCAAACAATTTGATTAAGACAAATCCGACGACTACCCATTGTGTAAGAGAGGTATGCCCAGCAGCAACGAAGATTCAGCTACGGAATTTATTTTTCTGTCGCAATGGACATTAAGTAAACAACAACACCCGTGCTCGAGCAAATGCCAGACATAATGGAAACTACGCAGTGCCAGTGCGACATCTGGCAGTCGGCAAATACGAACCCATGATTCATGCACGTCGTCCAAAAGGCAAGAATATCTTTGAGTCCACCACACAGTACCCAAATCCAACTCCTACAAGAACACAAGGTAGGCCCAAAACCATGAAAAACAAAACAGATCACCCAGAAGCTGCTACGGTTCAAAAAATGGAATATCACCAATCACATCAACAAAAGACTTGAACATCAAGAAACCAAAAACCCAAAAAAAAATCACCAAGGAATACCACACCAGAACTTAGCAGCACACACTACCACGACACAAACATGATCATAAATCTCACAAAAATGTACAGCGCACGTGTCGGAAACAACTGCAAAACGATACCACATACACAGTCACGAAATCAGGCCACCAACCAAACAGGACTATCAGACGGCTCCGCAGACAAAGGGAACACGAAGGTTATACAACGTGCAATGATGAGCCGTGTTGTACTCATCACAGGCTTCCAAAATCCGCAAAGCTGTCAAACACAAGATTTGCCCCCGCATCCTTCCACATGCTGGTACAAATCCAACGGGGGACCCCCGGAACTCGGTCAATGCCCGAACCACTACCCTGCCTGCGTGGTGTAGCACATGCACCGCTCTGCTCCCTCCACTGTGCGACCATCCCGCCCCTCCACGGAATCCGCCTCGTACCGCCTGGTGCACTCATCCCACCACGCCACGCAACCAGGGCCATCACTGGTGGTTCGCTCTTGACTCGCTTCCTCTCCCTCCCGATTCTACCTCGTCTCTGTCCCTGTTCGTCCCCCAAATCCCACACCCTGACGTCCCCCCCGTAGCGTCCGCCTCCGTCTCCGTCGTCTTCCTCCGCCACTCTACTCCTCACCTGCTCCTGGTCCTGCTCCTGATCGCCGCCCTTCCCTCCTGAGGAACGCTCAAGACCACGCTCAATGTGAGACGACACACAATCTTGAACGCTCCTCAATGCCCACCCTCTTTGCTCCTCCCTGCACCGCCCACCACCGGGACTGAGATCGTCTCAATCCATGTGGTGACCCGGCAGGACCTCCACACCCACGCCCGTAAATTCCACACAAAAATGCTATCCCCCACCCACCCCGCCCCCCTCTCTACGACTCCTCCGCTACCAACGCCGCCCTGATCCGCTGCACCGTGCACGATATCAGATTGTTCACCGTCGCCACCGACTCCAGCGAAAGCCGCGCCGAAGGCACGCTGCTCACCAGAATCTGGAACGCCACCGTCACCAGCGACCCCCGCCCTGCTCCCCGCCCGCTCTCCGCCCCCTGCCCCGCCTGCTCCCCTCCGCACCCCGACCTCTCCCCGCCCCCCGGCCCGTCCGGCAGGATAGCGAACCCCGACGGCAGCAGCGCCACGTACGCCGGGTCGCCCCCCTGCAGCACCAGGTTCATCGCCGGGATGTCCACCGGCGCGTAGATCACCAGGGACCCCGACACGTCCGTGCAGCTCTCCTGCAGGATTAGCATGTTGCTGTTGTTCGCGTTCATCGCGTTCACCTTCAGCAGCGACACGCTGTTCCCCGGATCCCGCCCCTTCGCGATGTGCGCCATCTCCGTCACCATCCCCCCGTTCGACAGTATGTCCCACTCGCTCCGCAGCCGCTCGTCCCGCAAAAACTCAAACACCCGCGCTGCCGACACCGCCAGCCACATCGACGTCGCAGCGCTCAGCACGATCCCCTGCGGCTCCCCCGGATTGTCCACGCTCTTCCGCGTCATCACCCGCACGTCGTCGTCCCCGCTCCCCGACAGCGTCGTCCACGTGTGCGCCGTCGACGCGCTCACCCCCGCGCAGAAGTTACTCGTCATCCTCTGCGCCAGCTTCAGCATGCTCCGCCGCCCGCTCGCGCTCGGCACTCCGCCCAGGTCCCGCGGCGCGATGTTGCTAGCCAGCAGGCTCGCCACCCTCTCGCATTGCCTCTCCAACGTCGCCACCCACCGCTGCGCTCCGAATGCCATCCCTGATCCCACCAGCTCCTTGTACATCCGATGCACCGCACGGTCGTCGTACTCCGCGTGCTCCACGCACGTCACCCTCGCGTACCCGTTCGGCGTGTCCTGGATCAACACCCCCGAAGGCCGCCGCCGACACCTCATCAGCGACGGCGGCGGATTGTCCCGCAGCGACTCCACCGACACATCCACCACCCCCCACACCCCCTCCGCATGCTGCTTGCAGTACCGCAGGAAGTACACCTCCCGCGTCGGCACCAGCGGCGACAGCACCTGCAGCTCCGCGTACATCAGCTGCAGCGCGCCGTTCCGATTCCCCGCCACCCCCGTCGACAGCACCTCCACCGTCACCGCCCGCGACACCACGCACGGGAACATCTCCGCCCACTGCGACGCGTCCAGCAGCGTCTCCACCAGGTTCACCCCGTTCATCATAACCAGCGCAGTTTCGCGGCTCGCCTCCGTCCTCAGCCCCGCCGGTTTCATCCCCATCCCCATCCCCACTACGCGCGGAAACTGCCGCACATACTCCTCGTAGTTCAGCTCCTCCCTCCCCCCGCCTCCCGCCCGCACCCACAGCGGCTCCTCCGCCTGCACCATTCGCACCAGCTCCTCCATCGCCGCCACCGCCAGCTCCACCACCATCGGCTTCTCCGCCTCCGTCAACCCCCCGGGTCTCGTCGCCACCTCCGCCACGCTCGGCCCCTGAACCATGTCCGCGTTCCCACCCGCCGACCCCGCTTGCACCCCACTCAACCAGCCCCCCACCTGCAGCTCCAAGCTCGAGCTCCCCACCCCCACGGGACCCATCCCCGCGATCGGCCGCCCCAGGTACTTCGCCGCCAGCGCCGACACTCGGTCCAGCTCCTCCTTCAGCCGCACATTCTCCACCCGCAGCTGCTGCTCGTCTAACGACATCTCCCCTACCGTCGCCGGCACGCTGCAATGCGGGCACTGCGTCTTCCTCAGAGCCTCCCGCATGATCACGTTCTCCGCGCGCACCTTCTCGTTCTCCGCTCGCAGCAAGGAATTCTCCGCGCGCTCCGTCTGCGCCTTCATCTGCGTCCGCCGGTTCTGGAACCAGAACTTCACCTGCCGCGGCGCCAGCCCCAGGTCCTTGCTCAGCTGCTGCCGCTGCTTGTCGTCCGGATGCGGACACTCCTTGAATATCATCTCCATCTCCTGAATCTGCCGCGGCGTGTGCCGATGATACCTCTTCTTGCGAGGCGGGTGGTCCGCGTCCTGATCGTCGTCCGAACCCCCCTCCATGTTGTCGCTCCCTGACCGCGACCCGTACTCCTCCTCCTTGTTCTTCTGCTGCTGTTGTTGTTGTTGCTGCTGCTGCTGCTGCAGCTCGCTCTCCGCGCTCTGCCCGATTTCTCGCTGCCTGTCCATGGCCGAGGGCGGCGCCAGGGACAGCGACGGCGACGTGTAATGCTTCGGCGGGGGCCGCGATATCAGAGGGGGGATGGGGCGCGGGGGCGCCATGCCACCCAACTCCGCAAAGCCCCGCCCACCCAGATTGCCGTTCGGAGTCACTTGCACGGTCACGCCGCCCAGCCTCATCAGGCTCTCGCCTTCCCGCCCCTCCTTCCCTTCCCGCCTCGCTCCTATACTCCTACCCTGCCACCATCCTCCGTGCGCCTCGAATGCAGCCTGCCCTTCCAGCTATCCACCTCATCCCAGCTCGCTCGCTCGCCCGCTCGTCGAGCCCCAATGCCGCTCTACACCTGCCCACCTCCCTCCTCGCTCGCCACCACCGATTCCTCAATTGCCCGCACCGATAGCTCCCCTCGCAAATGGTACCCCGCTCGCCTCGCCGTCGCCCTCAACCTCCAGATAAAAATTCCGACCGCACTGCGCCTCCCAATTTGCCTCCTGGGCACACTCCCACCCACACCGTTCCCACTCATTCGCTTCGCGCAAAAATCTCACCCATTGTCACCATCACCTCACACAATCCCAACAACCCCACCGCCATGCCAATGGGGATCACCTGCAAACCGCCGCCCAGCATGTGTGCGCACCAGCACCCGCGTGTCCAGCCACTCCACGAAATGCCGGGCTAGCTTGTACAATCCCGCCCAACCACGAGAGCAAGGGACCTGAGAGAAGAGGGAGGCAATGTCCAGCGGCCACCCAATGCCACTGTCGACCCCTGCCTCCCGCCCTCTCTCCTGCCGTCCGAAGAAAAGGAGGGAGAGAGGAGCAGCAACCCCGTGCTGAATCTCCTCTCTCTCTCGTTCTCTCCCTCTCCGCAAACCTAGACCTACCTCGCCACCTCCACCACCTCGCTTCCTCGACCTATCCCCACCCCCACGCGCGCACCGCTACGATCTTCGCCACCTTCACGCAACCTGCGTCGCCCCCGCTCCGGACTTGATCGCTCACTGATTCACCTCGCCGGCCCACCACTGCAGCCTCCCGGTGCACCCACCAGCACAAGCTCCACAAGTTCCCCAAGCTCACGCTCACACACCTGCCTGCCTCCCGGCACACCGCAGCTGGACACCCTACCCGACGCCACCAACGCACCGATAACTCACACCCCCTCCGCCCTGTCTTCCAGTGTCACTGCAGGGCGTGCACCACCCATGCTATCTTTGTCACCCCGGCCCAAACCCAGACAGAGATGGCGAGCACGGATAGAGCGCATTCAATGCAGCAGCGCTCAGAGAGCCCGCGAACAAACAAAACCAAACACGCACAACTCCACAGCACCTAGTTGGGGTGGGGAGCGTCCGGTTTATCGACGCGCTCCGTTCGCAGATGAATGAAAGTGGAGCCGGGCGAAAGCAGCCTTCGCCACGACATGGGTAGCGCATGTGACAAAAGGCTTGGCTTGGCCTCGACTCCCCCCCCCCCCCTTGCACGCTTCCCCAGTGTCCGCACCTGCTCCACCACGAGGAGTCCGATTTGGAGCAGGGTCGACTGAGTTTCACAGTGGGTGTGAGACCATGCAGGCGAAGGAGTCAGCGCTGAGGAAACCTTTTGGGAGCATTTATAGAACATGAGTGAGGGGTAGATGGTGGATTGAAGGAGGCAGCACCCAGAGAACGTACAGGCCATCAGAGTCGTCCATGTTTAATGGGTGGGATTGTTGTGGTGTGCTGGAAGGCCATTGATCCTTGCTTCGGCAGCGGCAGCGGCAGCGCGCAATCCAACGGGAGCGAGTGGGAGAGAGTTGGGTTCACACTGGGTGCTTTGGGTGAATGATTGTCGGCCGAGGGGTTGATGGGGATCATGCTCGAGGAGCACTGCCACGAGGGCCATGCGTGTTGATGCAGGTTGATGTGGTTGTGCAGCAATGCTATGCTATTCTATGCCCATCAGAAGCAAAGATGCGAGGTGGTACTCTTAGACTGAATTTGTGTCCTAGGTGCAGCATGCGCGAAGTGGTATTTATGATGTTTTTATCGTCGTGAAGTGGTTGAACTCTGTTTGCAGAAGTCGTTGTAAATTGAATGAGGAGAGGTAGGATAGAGTCATTAGTTTGAAATTAAATTTGAGGATTTGAACAGTCGTTGAGGATGAGCTGCAGAATCCCTGGGAGTGGCGGTTTGTGGTGTGACTGTCTCTAGGTTTGAGAGTCCTGACAAGCAGGTTCTGTGTATATGTGACCTTGTCATGTTTTATAACCCTTCTTTTTGTGTAGCTATTTTTGAATTTGGGAAATTTAGCAAGCTATGCACATTGTAGTAGGGGTCTTCAAATTATCTTTTAATTGGTGTTAGTGTTTTAATCTATTTTATTTTTGTATATTCCTCTGTGTGATGTAGCCAACTTAAGAATAAAATTATATTCCAAATTTATAATGGTTTTTTTAATGATATGACCTATTTTTTATTCCATTTGTTGTGTTTTAAATTTTTATGTTTTTCTTTTAATAAATAAAGTCAATAATATTTGGTATCTATTTTTAACTTCATTCAATATTTTTTATATAAACGGTTATTTAGAAAATTAAAAATATCAACAATTAGCTTTTATATTCAAATAAAAATTCAATGATATAAAAATGACAAATGATTGTTAAATAATTGTACTATTTGGAGAACTAAGAGTTGCCATTCTAGAAGAAGAAGAAAAAAAAAAAAAAAAAAAAAAAAAAAAAAAGGCATTGGATCCAGATTTTGAGTATTTATCAATCAAATACAAATTTTTCTTCACCTCTAATCTTTTAGTTATCCATGTTGTGAACATAAATATAAAAAAAACTCAAAAGATATTACACTCACCTATTATTCAAGTAGATTGAAAATAAAGAATAGTGTGATAGATATAAGATAGATTTTAAGTGATATGACTATTACCAAATATAAATAAGTTAGAAAGTTTTGAACCAAGAGTTGAATACAAGAAAGGTATTGATAAGATTGAGAATGGCCTCACTCTTGTCTCTATATATATAAGCTACTAAGAACCTCGTGACTGAAGTAGCAAGTTGGAGGTTGCATCCAATGCAACTCTATTAAATTAAATAACTTGTAAGTCAAGTTTCAATAGGCATGTAGCATATCTAAAAAATTCTATAGATCAAATCCACATTTAAAAAATTATTTAAAGTTTTGTAAACATAGTATTATCCACTTAATGTAATTTTATTTTATTTATTGAAGTAATAAAAATATTTTTTGTAATCCAATCCAAACATCTCATGTATACTTTATTAAAAATTTACTCAATATATTTATTATTTATTTATTTTATTTTTTAAAATAATAAGAATTTATAATAAATGATTTTGATTTTTTAGATTCTTATCTATTTATAGAAATAATAATATAATTTATAAATCAAGAAAATAAAATTAATATTTATGAGAATAAATTAATTTGTTTAAGTATATTCATCACATTGTCAACAACTAGAAAGTGATATCAAGTGAAAAAATGTTGCACTAGTCAATCAATCTTTCTACAAGATACAATATGATGTAAAGAAATTATTACCCAACTTCCTAGATTTTTAAATATTAAGTCAAAGAATTGATTTTGTTGTCAAATAAAATAAATATCTTTTTGAATTTCAATCAAAAATTGAATGATGGTACTTCAACACTTCTATATTTTTTTTCTATATGTACTTCTACTAAGCAAGATATACAATTAGATAAGGAAACTATATAAATTGGAGCTATATACTTCAAAAATTTATAACATAAGAAAAAAATTAATGTCAATAAGAAGGATTGTGTCTATATTATAGAAAACCAAGACATACTAGTGAACATTGTCCTAAAAAGATATATAACCACAAAATAAAGAATTTAGTTCCAAAAATAAAATGATATTTAAAAAAAGTTTTCCTTTTAATATTAAGAACTATACAATTTATAAACATCATGTCTTATCTTGTAAATTCTTTGTTTTTTTTTGTTTGTTTTATTTTTTGTTTTTTTTTTTACTAGAAAATATTTAGGATTTAAATATTATATTTTTTTACCTTTGTTTTCTTAGATTTTTCATCCTTCATTTGTATTTTTGAAAAAAATGTTGCTACTACAAAAACTCAAATCTACTCATGTAAAAGTCATAAATAAACAAATCCTATAGTAGAAGTAGTTGTAAATAGATATGATAATCTATAATTGTTTAATATTATAAATTTTCTTATCAATCTTATTATTATAGCTTTATGTTGGTTATTAAAACAAAATCTTTACTTGAATTGAATATCTTGCAATCTTAAATTTTTTTCTTAACTTATCTATAAAAAAATTAAAACAAAAATATCTTATGTCAAAAAAGTTAAATATCTATTATTTAGAGGTAGAATATTTATATAAGTTGCATAAGAAAGATATCTATTTATTATTTATGCAATATCAAGTTTTTATTTATGTAGAGGTTGTAATAAAATTCTAAAGTAATATAATTAGTATTCAGATATATTTGAAATGAAGAATATTAATATGTTTTCTAAATATTGACCTTACAATTGGACAATTGATCTTCAAAATAGAACTTAACCACCATTTGAATCAATTTAAAAATTGTTGCAAAACAATCCTAAGGCATGTAGATTATTTTAAATTTAATAAAATAATCATTAAAAATTATTATTATTATTTTTTGATATTAAAGATTTTAAATCAACTTATTAAAATTAGAAAATAAAAATATTCTAAAAACATAGAAGAACATAAATAACATGTTTGCCTCATGTTACAAAAATTTAGAGATGCAAGACTATATGGATAGATTGAAAAAGATGTGCTTTACACAACTCAAGTAGAATTTTTAAAATATATCATCGTAAATGATCGTTTGCAAATGGATTATACAAAGATACAAAATATTGTAGGTTGGACAATTTCAAGAACTATATATGATGTCTAATTTTTTTGAAATTTATAAATTTTTGATATTATCATAAAGTCACTTTTATTCTAGTCACAAATTACATGGAAGGCAAGCACCTTGAGTAATTTATATTAACATGTGTTTCAAATTGTAGCTAAGTCTAGTCAAATATGTTTTTGTTATAATTTACATATAATATTACATATTATCTTGAAAAATAACAAGACTTGTTAAATGCCTTATTTGGATGTTTCTATCTTTTATAAAAAGTGAGAGATGCTGTACATAATTAATAAAATAGTATATTTTTATAACCAAAGAAATTGCATGTTTTAGCTACAAAGTTAACAATTTCAATCAATACTATTTTAGATAATGCAATTTTCTTAAGTATGTCAAAAGACACTCATATTTTAGATGTCAAAATCAAAAATTATGATTACAATAGTAAATTTTATTTTAATGAAAAAAATGCATTTTAAAAGATATTTACATATTTAAAAATTAAATTTATGTAATTATCTAAAATTAAATCTTGGATTAATGGACAAACAAAACTTGTGAATTAAGTATTAAAACAATATTTTTAATATACTATCATTTATAACTAAGTCAATTTGGCAACTCTCTTGCTATTAGCAATTTTTTTATGGAACAATATGGTACATTCTTCTATTTTAAAAATATCATTTTTTTTCCAATTATTTTGATATCTATGATCATATAATTTTTACTTTTAAAAAATAAAAAAGATAGTAAATACAAGACAATAAGATACAAGACAATAAGATAGTATGAATATTGATTATTTAAAACTAAGTTGGATAAAAAAAAACATCTAATTGAAAAGGCCTCCTTACATTCAAACCTTCACTAGATTTATTACACTATTTGGTGAAGAATTGGTGAAGAAGCCAATTGTATAGTGTGATTTGACTCATATAAAATTAAACCAATATTTTGAGACAATAAAACCTATTTGTTGCAAATTTAGATGGTATACCTTATTTTAATAGAGTAGTTTTCAACAAATCAAAAAAGATGTAAGTGGATGGAAAAATGATTGTCTAAATTTAATACTTTTAGAGGTAAATCCAACTTTAGTGCAAGAATAGATGTCACTTGTCAAATTGTGTGATTAATTTTTACTTAATATATTTTTGTAGATAGCTAGGATAAAAATCTATACTAGAAGCAAAACCAAAAACTGATAGGATAAAAGATAAAAATTCAAATTGGCATAGGCACAAAAATTAATAGGATACAGAAGTCAATTGTGTTTTTAGTCTTTCTTTCAGTATATAAATGTTAATATAAATCTAGTATTAAAGTTAAATTAATAGAATGAGAAGGATAAAATGGTCATAGCTCTGTGGGTTGTGAGATATAAAAATAAAATCAAATATTCTTTTATAATGTGAAATTTAATATATTGGTTTTGTTTAAATCATGTTTTGAATGAAAAGGAATGAGAGCCAAGGTATTAATAAATAAATATTGGTAATGTTTTATATGCTTTTCCTTCTATACTTCTATATAACTTGTACTTTGACACTTCCAATATTAAAGATTTTCACAAATATTGCAGAAGTATTATAGCTTTTAGAAAATTTTGATTATTTTATTTTATTTTTAAAAGAAAGAAAGAAATATAAATATATATAATTTAAATATAATTCATATATAATTATGCTTTTCTTTAAGAAGTTAATATATAAATTTATCTACTTAGAGAAATACTATTAATATACAAATAAATAAGTTAGATAGAACTTCAACTATAAAATAAATAAACAAGTTAAAATTATTGTTTTTTTAAACATATCTAAGATTAACTCAACTTCTTTAATTTAAATTTTTTAGATTTTTCATTTCAGTCATTACAAATTATCAAACCTTATGATTTTAACTTTTAAAATCTTACAATGGTTGTCTTGTGTAAAACGTGACAATCGAAATTTAACAAAATAATACAACAAATAGAATTAGAAGAGGAGAAGCTGTCATAGAAAAGATAGTTGAAGAATGTTACACATTAAATATACGTGATTTGCATGAAATGACTAAAGGGCTCAAAATAATAAAATTAGTGGTCCAAGTACAGTTTTACATTTTTGAATAAAAATGACTACTCCTAGAACCTTGTACTTTTGAATAACAAGTCCTAATGATTTCATTAGCAAGAAAGGTATCCATCTACACGACAGTTGAACCACTGAAATACAAGGTTTAGATTTGAGAACTACAGTTGGAGGAGAAATCTGATTGTGCATTTACCAAGAAACATCATAAAGATATTACGGAGTTAGAATGGTGGTTAGCTGGAGGTGATTTGAGTGTCTCCCATACCTCCCAGTTACGGGCAATAGCTACTTGTAAAATTGCACTTTGCATTCATCTGATTCCGAGGCAGATGGACATCGAATTGAATTTGAAAGACATAGTGACTCCCAGGAAAATATTACATTTCGTTAGTTACGAAGGAGGATACAAGGATACTGACTAAATCCAATGCAGCAGGCGCTTGATGAACAAATCAATATTTTCTTCAAATATGCCAAAGGCATAAGAAATGAGGGACCCCACTCAGTGTAACAAGGCCATCTAAAATAAACTACCTGGATAGATCTAGCTCAATGAAGCCAGAGGAAATGATCGAGCACGGCACTCAATGCTACCCCATTCTAAAAAGCGGGTATCCTCCATAAACTAGAGTGTTTAGATCCGAACTACAACCCACTTGATTCGTTATCCTAAGCTGACAGAACTGGTTTCCTGCTATGGAATATGTCACGATGTGGACAGACCACTACGTCGAATTGCATGATATCATCATTTACATCTCGGAAAAACTACATCAAGTAATGAAGCTGTAAAGATGGTACAAGATGAGGTGGTCCCCCATACTGGAGGGTGGGTTATCTTACCACCTCATGATTAAGAACCTTAGATAGAAGATTGTTTCAAACATCTACTGATTGTGAAGTGTTAGAGTGTTAACAGCAGCATTAACAGTAACTGAGGCATCTTCTAAGGTCCTCTTTTTCGCCACCAATTTAAATGCCATGATTTTGTCGCCAACTTGCCATTCATTGAAGTCGAGGGCACCAACTCCGCACTCTAAACCGGCAGGTACCTGCAACAGGACGATGTTTCTGTGACGACTGACGGCGTAGATGCAGTAACGACCGACCAAACAAAACTAGTAGAATTTACAGTTACATCGGTATATTCACTAGAAGTTTTTATACAGTTAAACTCATAAAACCATTACAATGCAAAAATTTTGAACATAAATCTTTTCTGACATTACCATGCAAACAATGGCACACGAGAACTCAAAGATATACACAACAATTAGCTAATTCCGGACAAGTACTAAATTGACTGCTCACCTCCTTGGCGAGCTCCTTTACTCGTCTTAACGAATTAATAGAACCAACGTGCACAGAGTTGTTCCCCCGCATGACACGAATTCCAGAGCCCTTCACCAGTTTGCCTTCAGTTACCATACAACCAGCTGCTTTGCCACTTCCAGCCCCAAAGACGGCTCTTACTTCAGCTTCACCAATTGGCAATTCCTCCTGAAAATTCAGGTCACGCAAAAGTGAGCATGATTTACAAATGGGGGAAACAAACTAGTATACTTTTGCATCCCAACATTCCCAAAAGTCTTTATCGATTCAGAAACAAGTTTTCTCATTTAAAATCTACTCAGATTTATGTCCAGTTCATCCCCTAGCAACACCATGATGATCAATGTTCAATGTTATGATCAACCACACGTTTATAACCGAAAACAAGTTGTGAAAAACTGCAGTAATATTCACAATATGCAACGAAAATGACTCAGGAAAGGGCTAATTTTGACAGTCTCCGCACAGAGCATGTACTTCATGTGAACATATAGGGACTTGATTCGTATCAATCACAAAAGACATCACGTCCTTACCTCCACATCTTCCAACAGCCCCTCCATGGCTTTGCGAATGTCATCTACAAGGTCATATATGACGCGATACAATCGTATCTCAACTCCTTCAGCGTCTGCCTGTGTTTTTACACTTGGCTGTACACCAACATTGAATCCGATCACAACAGCACCACTTGCAACTGCCAACTCCACATCGCTGGCACTGATCTCACCGGTTGACTGCAGCAAGAAGCGCAAGGCAACTGTGTCCTGAGGTAATTGTTGAAGCACTTCCCTAATTGCTTCAACGGACCCCTGCAAACCAAATGTTACCAATTAGATAGCTTCAGAACGAAACTGCAAATTCTACTTCATTGGTTTACTCAACTTTTAGCAAGCATTAGTTCAGCAAATTAGAAAGATTCAGCTTAATGTATTCAACAAGAGTCGAAATGTGCACACATGCTTCTGTAGAACGTTCGTTACACAGCACATCCCATGTATGTACCTATGTCTACGGGAAAAGATGCAGCTGTGAAGTTCGAGAATACCTGGGCGTCAACTTTCAAAACCACATTAAGCTGGTGTCTTTCCACTCCTGTTTCCGCACTGGCTGCAACAGCATTAGCAAACGAGTGAAGTGTGACCTTGCCTTCTCCAGCCTGAGCTGCAAGCCTACTTTGACGCATAACTTCAGCATGCTCTTGTGCCTTGCTTCTTGCAACATCCAGAGAATCAAAAATTTCGAACTCGTCACCAGCCACCGGTACTTCGTTTAGACCCAAAATCTGCAAAAAAACAGTCGTAGTCTGTTGTCTATCAAGCAGCACACATCTTTCACATGTAACATCAGCATACTATCAACAGTGAAATGCATTCACTAATTCTGATACATGGACTCAAAGGAACAAAGCAAATCACCTGAACAGCTGCTGAAGGCCTTGCTTCATCCACCCGGGCGCCGGTATGATCCATCAAAGCACGAACCTGCAGTGATTAAAACCAGGTTGATTCAACTACACGAGACTGAAAATAGAAACAAACCAATCCTAAAGCAAATCCTAAACTCAAAACTCAGCAGGGAATTTAAAATAACATTTCAGTGCTGACAATGTTATCACGTCTAATATTATCTACAAACAATGCATTACTATATCTCCAAACGGTACTGGCGTACTGCAAAAAGCACTTCCAACATATAATGGATTCCATCCATCTTTATATTCCCTTTAAAACTCGATTGACGTTATAAATGTCAGAGCGCTTCAACTAAGAGAAATGTCTTCGCAAACAAAATTTGTAATTGATATTGACATGCAAGAATTGGGCGCAGAGTACCTTTCCATAAGTCTCTCCACAAAGCACAATATCACCCTTCCGGAGAGTACCATTTTGAACGAGCAATGTAGCGAGCGGCCCTCTGGCTTTGTCCAAACTTGCTTCAATGACAGTTCCTTTAGCCGTTCTTTCGGGATTGGCACTCAACTCTTGCAGCTGTGTACAATCAATGATGGTAGAAAATTAGAAAAGAGTTGCATAATAAATTCTCCAGTCGGGAGGAAACAAGAAAATAAATTAAATTAAATTAAGCGTTAATGACATGTATGTATACCAGGATATTTATTGCTAACGAATCATTGCCGATGCCATTGAACCAGTAGAGTAGCGATGTCATTGAGATTCCTTGCTTATATTTCAGGTTAAGAAATTACTAATGAAGGTGTACAGATAATTATTACGTCTTCATGTGTAGACAGCTTTAGGAAGTCATCAAATTCACAAACAAGGTCACCTTATTGTAGATCCTAATCCTGCTGTAAGACAACTCAAGCTGTAAGAACAAATTGTAGTGAGATATATTACCTCTGCGACTAAAACAACGTTCTCAAGCAGAGAATCGACCCCTGTTCCTTTTTTCGCACTAACCTGGATATCAACAGCATTTGTTTCAGTAAGATGTAACTTAGATAAACGGCAACATATTTAATTTCTGACATCTGTGAAATGCTATATTCTTAAGATTCCCAAAAGATATATGAAGCCCAAAAATCAGGAATGCTTTTGAGATCATTTCGACATATAAAAAACTTACTTTCACCATGGGAATATCACCTCCCCACTCTTCGGGCATCAGACCATGAGAAGAGAGCTCCTGCATCACAACGTCTGCATTTGCTCCATCTTTGTCAATCTGATGCACACAACGATAGTAATGGGTGAGCCTCACTCGGTCACTTAAGATGAAAAATCATGTACAAACTCAAATTTGGCAGAGGAATGCTAAACTATCTATTTTTGACATGGTGCTCGAAGCCAGAAGATCTTTGAATAAGATCACTAAAGGCAAGAGTATTATAAATACAAATACATGTGTATATACAGAAGACGAACCTTATTGATAGCTATAACTATTGGCACATCCGCTGCTTTTGCATGGGCGATGGCCTCAAGTGTTTGCGGCCTCACTCCATCGTCGGCAGCCACAACCACGACGGCAATATCGGTGACTCGAGCCCCACGAGCTCTCATAGCACTAAATGCCTAACAAAGAGAGAAGTAAATTGTTCAGAATTCTGAAGACAGCGTCTTGTGATAAAAATATTCAGTTTCATTCTGAAAAATGATACATCATTTGATTTCGCAAACCTAAAAATATCGATAACAGTGAACTGAAGCATTCCACTATAAATTATACATGCAAATCGAATTTCAATTGTGACAAAAGAAGCCAATGAACTGCAAGCACAAATAGAAAATTCAGAGTTTCCACAAAGAATAGCTCCAAAACCGAGCAAGAACTTTGTTAAATTTTATATTGTTTTGAATTTAATAATGTTATCGAAGACCAAAAGTCACGAAACACTATCCCCTGTGAATGTCTTACCTCGTGACCTGGAGTGTCGAGGAAGACACATGGGTGTACTTCACCTTCGACCGTCACATCAACGGAATAAGCTCCAATGCCTTGGGTGATGCCCCCTGCTTCTCCAGCAGCAACCTGGTAAACCATCATATTCTCAGAGAATAGCTTCATGCAACTGAACCAGTTCTTACCTATTCACTTCCTCTTTCACCTACCGAAAAATATTCAGAAGCTTGCACCGCACATACAGATATGTATATTTTCAAGTGTATGTTTCAAAAGTATATTTACAGTATCAGAGTACGAAATTACCTTTGTTTTTCGGATGAAGTCGAGCAACGAAGTCTGCGGTAGTGCACACAGAACCAACACTGAATTCGTTAGTCATTGCGATACATCAAGAGCTTCCAACAAGGAGAAACTGGGCAGAGGGAAATAAAACTATAGCACACTTCTATTTTCAATAACATGAAACTTCACTACAGTATATCGTAAATAAACTAGACAGTACACGCAAACCCCACTTCATATCAACAAGAAAATGCAAATGGCTACTACTAAATCGAAGAAGTTGATAAAACAAATCCCCCTCGAACTTCAACTGGCTTCAGACACCAAGTATAGCTCAAGCATGGAACATATTTACCTTGCCATGATCGACATGACCCATGATTGTCACAACCGGAGGCCGAGACTCAAGGTGTTCTAAATCCTCATCATCAATGAAAGTATTTGATTTTTTCGCCAAATCTTCCACCCTAATTGTTCCAGCCTCTACGACCTCCACTTCAAACTCCTTGCAGACTAACTTCACTGTATCCTCATCAAGAGTTTGATTCACTGTGATGGCAATGCCCTTCATAAACAGAACCTTGACAATTTCACTGTCATTCAAAGCAAGTGCTGCTGCCAAATCTTGACACGACATACCCTCCGGCCCAACTTCCAAAATTTCGGCCTTCACAGGTGCTGCAGCCCGCGCAGCTTCCATTTTGATGGCTTTCCGGCTGGCCTTAGTCATCTTTTTGCCACCCCGACGAGCCTTAGCTCCCATCATATCACCATCCAAGGAGTCTTGCTTACGAGCAACTCTTCTTTTCGCACCATCTGAAACATTGCTAGCTGCTTTCTTGCGCCAGTCTTCTTTGCCCTATAGATTAAATAAATCAAGAAACCATCGTCATTTAGTCATTCATTATACTCCTCACAAGATCATGTGTGAGTTGCGAAGGTCTTTTTCGGATGAGAATACGCTTCATACGAGGGACAATTTCTGCTTGACCTGATTCTCTAATCTGAGTCAATGTAGCAGGAAATGAACGAGAAGCTCATACTCTACCACTGACTGAAATGTAATAAAACTTGTTTGATTAATATTGATTCATTGGAAATTCATTAACAAGAATTGAGGTTGGACAAATAATTCGTGTACCAGTTCAATGTTCAACATTCTCCAGACATCGGCCCAGACGGATTCGTTAAAAATGTAAGACCTAAGCCCAATAACCTAAAACCTTTTATGCCCCAAACATCATACACTCGCATGTACACATCCACACATTTTTCTTCACCATAGAGTTCAAGGGATAGCGCAACATATCCTGATTGGTGCTTAAGGCCATGAGTTTCTTCCCTAAAAACGCAATTTTTTTGTCCTACTGTTATTCGGAGCACCCATAGACAGGAGTAGTAGAAACCATCAAATTTCTTACTAAAGAAAACATCAAAATTGAGCGAGCATTACAAATCTCAGTGCTTACCTTGATCGCTGGCTTCGAAAAGGGTTTTGGCGGGCCAGAAGGTCCAATGTTGGCGGGTGGGGATGTAGAGACTCTAGAAGATTGCCCCCGAGGCGCAGCTCCAACGTCCTTCAGTATCGGTCCTCTTGAACCTACATCCTTCAGGATAGGGCCCTTCCGGGGAGCAGCTGAAGCGTCTCTCAGCGCAGGTCCTGATGCTCCCACATCCTTCAAGACGGGACCTCTCTGAGAAGCAGCTGGAGGAGGTCTGACAGTAGGTTTCGCTAAAGTGTTCAATTGTACGCGAGGTCGTTGGGTTTTTGGAATTTCAGAATCCATAGATATTGAGGTCTCTTGCTCTTCATCTTTATTTGCCGATTCTGTTCGCCTCTCTGGTGCAGCTGCTGCTGCCGCTGCTGCTGCATCTCTCTCCCTCTCGGACTTCGTCCTTATTTTATCTCCAGCTCTCCATGCACCTGGTTGCGTGGTCACCGGTCGGGCTCGAACCGGCCCTCTACCACCTGCACCAGCACTAGTCGCAGGACGAGCCTCGTTCGAACCTAGTTTCTCCACGTTCTCTAAAATTTGACCCAGAGACGGAATTTCACCCTCTTGAGATTGCTGTGGCCTTGCTGGACTACTCCTATTGAGCCGCAACACGGGCCTGGGAGGAGTCTTCAACGTCATAGAATCATCGTTTCCAGCGCCCAAACCCCCACCCTGCTCATCATTCCTAATTCCATTCGGACGTGAAGCAGGACTTGGAGGAGGCTTCAGCGGTGGAATCGCTTGCTCGGATCGCGAAATTCCGTTCGGGCGCACCACAGGCTTGGGAGCAGGCTTCAGTGAGGGAGGTTTCAACCCAATTGATTCATTCTCCGGAGACTGCAATGTCGTCACAGACTGACTGCTTTCACGATCTTCATTATCCACTCCACTATCGTAAGCTTTCACCGAAACAGCCGACTCCGTGGACACCGAAACCGCAGAGGTAAGGTGCCTTGAGGCCAACAAAAATCGTCTAACCTTAGCTCCCACTAATGCAGACGACGAGGAGCCACGCAACCCCCTAGCAGCCACCAAATTCCGCCTCACTAGCAAACTCCTGCACACCACCCTCCCACACCCATACATTACACACGGGGGCGCATGCACTGAACCCTCCCTCCGCAACAAACCAGCTCGCAACACTCCTCTCGCACTTCCGCTACCAATCCCCAAAACTTGGCTGACACCCATGGACACCATAGCTGGGGCAGGGGCTGTGGCTGCCGGTGCCGCCATCTCCCTCTTCTCCTTCAAAGAAATTCACACATGAGCCCACCCAACTATGTCTATCAAACTCTTCTCTCTCAGGAACCTATTCCGGATTCAAATCTCTCTCACTCTCACTCTCTCTATCCCTCCCTCTCTCTCTTTCTATCTCTCTCTGGATACCGTCCCTGGAGGTGGTGTTGAGATGGCCTACTACTGACCACGCTCGAGGAGAGAGAAAGGGTTTAGAATCCTGGTTGCGGGAAAGGAAAAAGGTGAGGAGGAGTGCTGTGGTGGAGAGAGATTGTGAAACTGATTGCTACTGGGCTAGTGTTGTTGGCAGCCTGCTATCCTGGAATCGACCTCTCTCCCTCTCCCTCGCGCTCCGTGGATAAGCGATTCTGAATCACACATCCAACCCCCTCTCCACCCCCCATTGCCACCCCCCCCTACTCCCTCTTCCCTTCGTTCCCACTCCATCCCCTCTCTATCGCAGAAGAAGAATTCTCCTCCGCCTTCCTTTTTCCCCTTTCCTTCTTCCTCCTCTTCTCCTTTTCTCCAATGCTTTTATGCCGCTTTTTCCCCAGCAGGCAATGGTCCTCTTTCCTGGTCTTTCCTGCACCGCAATTCCACACTCCTTGTGGCCTTGGTTTCCTCGCCTATCTCTTGTTTGTTGCCTCCAGATGATGTTCATTCCATCCTTTGTTTGAGAAATGTTCCGTCATAGAAACCATTTGTCAACACATGTATGTGTGTATGATTCCATGTTTTTTTCTTCGCTTCCTTTGCGTTTTTTTCCCGTGTGTAAATCCTTTGAAGTAGAGCAATAATGAGTTCCAATTCGTTTAGCTGTGAGAATAGAAAAATATTTCTTTACTTTGTAAATTTAGTTTATAAAAAGGAGTCTATATGTGGAGTGCGTGGATAAGTGCACTGAACTGTGTGTGTAAGCCGAGGTTTTAGGGGTTTGAATATAAACTTATTTAAATATATCAACTTTCAAATCATTGTTTTTACTATACATATATATATAAAAATTGTCTGAATTTATACCTTTTATTTTTATGTTATTAGTTACTTTGATTTGATTGTATTAGCATAAATCTTATTGAGGTAATATAATTTATAATTTATCTATACAATTAACTATGTGTATTTTACTAGTAAAACAAAAAAAAACTAAGAAAGGATTTGACGACTTTAAAGCAATCTTTAGGGTTTGGGCTTAATTCAGATATTTAAGATGCCCATAGGTAGATAGGCCATGAATATATATATATATATATACACACACACACACACATATCTCTGGATAAAATACCCGGTATGTCATACACCGGTTCAAATCCAGATAACCCGTCATTACCACACTTAGATGGACCTCATTCGAGACCTGGTTTGGGCCACACCCAAAGTGGAAGTGTGTGAGTGGAAGTGTGTGAGGGAGGGAGGGACGTGGGGAGTTCGATTCTACACCAAGCGCTGCGACCCCTGCTTGATGCTGGAGTCCTAAGTGCACGGCGAGAGAATTGTTGTTCTACTCCTCAACTCCTGATTTCGCAATTGCAATCCAGGTCACATGGAACGTCTGCAATCTCTCTTCTACTTCGCACAACTGAAAGTGAGCCACTAACGGTAATGCGTTCAAGCGAAATTGTTGACGTAAACCACGTTGAGTACTTCACACAGTGATCCGCGGTCTCAGTACGAGATTGTGCACCGCCAATCCCTAAAACGAGGGGTCCTTTTCGGAAGAGTCTCCATTCTGCCAATGAATATTGGGTCTACATGTAGCTCGATCCGATGAGCAACACTTCGCAGGTTGAGATGATCCATGGGTTTGCTACCCAACGGCCACAGCAAGATGAGCATTCGCGTGAAGGAAACGTTTCGAGGGCATGCACATGCAGGGGGCACCCATTGTGGGGATACGGTTTCTGGGCGTGTTTGATCTGATGAACATACAGGCTCGTCATACATTTGTTCGTCGCCAAAATCAGTTCCCCGATTCTGTTATGTTGGTCAAGCCGACGACAGTGCTTTTTTTTTTTTTTTTCCTTTTTTTTTGGGTTATTTTCTTTGTGATGTCAGGGCGAATGATTTAAGGTCTGCATCGTCATTTTGGTGTGGAGATTTCGTGCAATTTGGGATTAAATGAGTACGTGCAGGTGGTTTCAGGGAGGACGATTGTGCGAGTGAGAGTTGGTTATTAGGGAAGTGACCCGGGGATGGATCAGGATTCCAAGAAAATGTTTTACACGACGAAGATGTCGGCCGAGGATCTCAAGATGTGCAGTCCAGTGGATGCAACGAAGTCGTCAGCAAGTTCGAGGGTCACACAGCACCAGCAAGGAGGTATAAGCTTCAGCAAGGCTGGCCGCTATCCTGCCGCTCTAGCTGGGGCAGCAGTTTTAACCGGTATTGGCACATTCATGTACTACAGGGCTGTAAACGTGCAGGCGATTCCATGTAAAACTAGCCACACATACGATGCAGCCTCGACCAAGGCACCTGCAGACGCCACGCGCTAGCTGCAACGACCTAACTGCTTTGGACATCTCACTGTTTCTTGAACCAGCGAATGCTGTAGCACTGATCTACTGCATGTTCTTTCCTTCTCAATGAGTCCAGGAAGAAGTTTACATTTTGGATGCTGCACGTGACTCAATGAACGATTCAAACTCTACCCACAGAGAATATTATCACAACATTAAGATTCGTGAAAGAAAACCACGTTTCTAAACTTCATCGTTCAGATGCGCCATGGTATAAATAAAAATACATTCAAAAAATGGTTCAGGTCATTTGCGACCCTGGCTCATCGTTGTCACAACTTGTGAAGTCTGTTAAGCTTGTCCTGTGATTTGACAATACGTGTCTCGCGTGACGATCATGAGAGTGGTCGCATGGTCACTTTCAAACGGAACCAGTCCTGCATGTCTGCGAGGTAGAAAGATTGAAACTCGGAGGCAATAGGTAACAAAGAAAAGCAGTTCGCGATGCAAGTGATACAGCCAATCGTAGTAATTCCTCCAGGCTGCAGATCTTCAAAACCTCGACCAAAGCCTAGAGTATGACCCACAAGCAGCTGCGAGGGCAGGGAGAAGGGAATTCGACGGTGCCCAGCTTGTGGAAACCTAGTGACGAAGCCAGGCTTTGCCCTTTTGTAGACAATGGCATTTGTAAACATGTGCATTGCATGCCTGCAATCCTGCCACACACAAGCGCTCTCAGCGTCGATATTCACCTTGCAACGGTGACATGCATCCTCGAATTTCAGGCCATGAAGAAGAAGAACAGAAAAAGAAAAAAAGCAAAAACTAAGCAAATTCGAAACAAAATGACGACGAAAATCCGTCACACTATTCTTCAAGAACTTCACGATTTATTCTTTTGATGGTGGACTAATATACATTAATAGAAGACATGCAATTTTTTTATTTATTATTTTCGTATTTGGTTTATTTTCTGCCTTTTTTTGTTGTTCTTATGTTATTATTATTTTCTCATTTTGTTCTACTCTCATTTTTACAGAGAAAAATTATTTTCTTTTCAGAATAATAAAAGTTCTTACAAGTTGAAATTGAACTTTAATGTTACGGTTTGTGTTGCAATTCCTATAATTCCATATTCCTATAATTCCATATTCCTATAATTCCATAAATTATGTTGCAATTCCTATAATTCCATATTTGTTGTTGTTGTTGTTGTTGTTGTTGTTTTTGTTTGTTTGTTTGTTTTGTTTTGTTTTGTTTTTTTTTTTCTTCGGCTTCTTCTTCTTGATTGTGCTCAATTTTTTTTATTTAACTTGCAAAGGATAAAATCATATTGTACCATAATCTTCCATATTTTACATATTTTATTATTAATGTATTTTTTATAATATAGTTTTATTATATATATATATATATATATGTATGTATATGTTTTTATATATTTTAGAGTTTTAAAATATACATAATATATATCATATTATATTTAAATTAATATATTCAAAACACAATTAAAAATAAAAATATCAAAATTTTATTTAAACCACATATATATATATATATATATATATTTAAAATCCACTATTATTTAAGATCCCAAAAAAATATTTATATTATATTTTGTTGTAATGAAGGTTATATTGTATCAAGGATATGAATAACAAAGAATCGAAAGGTCAACACATTCTTGTGTTACTAAAAAGGAATAAATATTAACTCAATGATGATATAATATTAAAATAGAGTGACTATTTCCAAAAACAAGAAAATTAGAGATTCTTAAGAAAAGTCTAAAGACAACAAAGGTATTGACAAGCATCTACTTTTCCTGCTACATTTATAAGATTCTTTGCTATCTTCCATATACATTCATTAATATCACATTTGAGCCAATATACAAGATGTTCTAATCTATTTTAGTACCACCTTGAATCTAAGACTTCTTTGATCTCAAATTCTTAATAATTATCCACTTTTAAAAAAAGATGTGGCATTTGTCTTCTTCTCAATATATCTATTGTTTTGTATAATTCAAAAAGTGATATGTGGAATATGTGATGGATCTCCATAGACTTCACTACATATAATTGACAAGCAATTAGATTTATTTGTTTAAAAATAAAAAATAGTCTAAGTCTATTATAATCCAACTTATCACAATAGTGACTAGTCTTGATATTATAATAAAGTAACCATATTTTATTACTAATATGGAATTGAGGTTTGTTCTTTGTAATAGGAATTTGCATTGAATTTTTGTTCTTTTCAAGCTTCCTATAATTATGCCTTCTTTGTTGTATGTAGCTCTAGTAAAGAATTTACTAAATATTTTACTATAGGATTATTAAAGTTTGACAAGTCAAAAATATCAAGTTGTGGATGTTAATCATAATTAGCAGAAAAAAGTATTTATTAAGTAGAAGAATATACCATGTTATTATAAGATAACTTTTTCAATGATAAAAAAATTGTCCAATCATCTTGATGGTAATTAATAGTACATCTTAGATACTAATTCATAACTTGATTCTTCTATTCTATTTTTTTATTTTTTATTTATTTTTTTATTAATTTAAAGATAAAAAGCCAAAGATAATTTTATATCTATCTTCATAATTTTAAAAATAATTTTTCTAAATCTCAATACAAATAGGATCTTTTTATTGTATATAATATTCATTAGTAATCTATAATAGCAATAAATATTATTAAAAAAAAATAGTTGTTTTTTATTTGTGATAGATTTTGTATATACTATAAAATATGCCATCTTAGTGACACAATCTACTATTACAAATATAGAATTGTAAGAACTTAAAACTAAAAGATTTGTGATAAAATCTATAGTAATAAAAGACTATAATTGTTCCAATATAGGTACTAATTGAAAAAGTCTATGAGGTCAATATCAAGGAGTTTTTAATCTTAAATAAACATCACATGATTATATAAAGATTTTAATTGCCTTTTACATTTGAAGCTACTGAAAATATTTTGAAATTAATTCCAAGCACTTATTATATTTAAAATGTCATGCAATTAGAAAGTTATGATGATGTTAAAGAGCATATAGTTGTGCTTCACCTTTTGAAATATATGAGCGTCCTTTTAAATAAAATAGATTATTTTTAAATTCAAAATTTAAAATAACATGAGATTTGAATGAATTATTTTAAATATCAAAAAAAAAAAAAGATTTTGGGACTTTTTTAATTTAACTTACTTAAAAAAAATTGAATCAACAATCAATATTGATTTTATTGCTTAAAGATGAAATTATTTTGGCTTTAAGAAAATTATTTGGTGTTAATTAAAAGCTACATTGTCATCTTTTAGTATAAGATAAGAATATTTTAAAAAGTCATCTAACAAAACTTATTGTTTTTTTAGCCAATTCATAATCTTGAATTCAAATCTTGACAAAGACATACCTTAACAGACTTAGCAATAATTTAAAATAAATCTTCATATAAAATACTTGAAGTTCTTGTATTTTGTATACATAATGATTTAATTTAAATCGCCTTCTAGATAATAGTACTATTCTTAAAATGAATCTATAATTGCAAAAAGTTTATTTTCATAGATCTTTTAGATGATTTGGGTTGCTAAAAACTTTCTTGAATTAAAAATAAGTACATGAAGTTTGTCATATACTCCTATTTATAATGATATCACATCTAAAGAAAAATCCAATGCATTTTTTTCATAAAAAAATACCTTAGAGAACTTGACACTATACAAGATTAGTGTAGAAGTGAAAATTGACTTCAAAGCTTCAAATGATGTTTTAGCTTCTTTATACCACTCAAGTTTATTTTTGCAAGTGAAATATATAAGTAAAGCTATAATTCAAGATTTTTTTTGATAAAGATCCAATAATAATTAATAAATCCCAAAAAACATTGAATATTTCTTATTGACTTTGGAATATTTTTATTAATGAAAGTTTGAACTTTTTTGAATCTACTATAAGACCATCATTTGAAATAATATATTTTAAAAAATCAACTTAAATAATATAAAATTTATACTTTTTATCTTAAAATAGATTCTCTAAATTTTTGTAACATATAATAAACATGAAGTTTATACTCTTTTATGTTATTATAGTAGATTATAATGTCATTTACATAACAAACAACAAAATCATCTAGAAACTATTAAAAAGTATCATTTATAAGATGTTGAAAAGCAGCTAGTGTATTTGTGAGTCCAAAAGGCATGACATTATATTCAAAATATTCATTCTTGGTTCAAAATGCAATCTTTCATTCATTTCTTTTTTTGATGTGTATCAAGTTGTATGCTCTTCATAGATCTATTTTTTTATAGATCTTGGCTTGATTCAATAAATAAAGAAGTTTAAATATCAAAGATAGATGATATCTATTCTTGTTGGTTATCTTATTGAATTCTTAATAATCTATATACATTTATAGTGATTTATCTTTTTTCTTCACAAAAAATAGGATCTTTTGCCAAAGATTTTGAATGGTGTATAGAATTATTAGCTAAGTTCTTTTCAATATATTCCTTGAATATAGCCAATTTTTTTTGTAATAAGCTATAGATTGGTCCAAATAGTGGTTGAGTTCTTTTTTAAAGATTAATTAAGTAATTATAGGAATAATACTTTAAAATAATATATATATTTAAAAATATCTTAATAATATTAATATTGATTTGAAATTCTATTTATAGTCTTTCTATTATTAAAACTAGGTATGGCATAAATAACAAAAGGAGACATTTTTTTAATAGCATGCATAAAAACACGTGTACCTATCAATAAGAATTTGCTTGTATTAGAGCTATAAATTTTTATTTATTTAATAGAATTCTTAGTTATACTTTAAAAAAATTCAAGACTATAAGAATTCCAATCTATCCAAGGATTATACTTTTTTAGCCACCATAAACCTAAAATGCCTAAATTAAAAAGAAATCTATTTATATTAAATATTTCTAATTTACTATGACCATTTTTTGCTACTTCAATAAAAAGGGTTTTATGGATTACATTTCCAAAAAATAACACATGACCATCTATGACTTCTACACATATAGATTTAATTTTCTTTATTAAAAATATGTTATAACTTTCAACAATCTCTTTATTCAAAACACAAGCTCAAGCTCCAAAATTTAGCAAGATAAAGGCTTTTTATTTTTAGGTCGTAAAAAAATATCTATTATAAAACGAAGAGAAGGTTTTTTGGAAAAAATAAGACCTCTTTAGGCATTGTATAAGGTTCTAGCCACATAGTCCTTATTATAGCTGTATATTTTATATATATATATATATATATATATATATATA